TCATCGGACCAGTGTGCGGCTGCCTTGCTTGTCCTGTGCCTCCATTTGCAAGCTGCACTACCCGTGGACTGTGTCGCTGTAATTTGAGGTTCCATCAAGACCTGCTTCGCCACACCATTGGAATGACATCTCTTGAGCTGGGCCTGTCGGGCCCTGTCATCTGGCTGACTGTTGGTGACCTGCCTTGCCGTTTGCTGCCTGTGCCCGGATAGCCTGAGTTGCCCTACAGAGGACTACCCTGCGGCCCTCGAGACTTGAAGGACTGCCAGTGCCTCACAGCTGCACGGAGCCGTTTGTACTGCGTGATCATTTAACTGTTTATTTCTGATGTTATCTCTACAGGGCACAAACAAACCAGCCTGAGAAGACGTAAAACCAGGATGCGCCTCACCAGCCAGGACGATGTGGTAGCGAAGTTTTTTGGGGTGAGTGCCAGCATGACTCCCGAAACTGTTTACAGGCCGGCCATAAAAAGGCCTGCCTTTCTCCCTGAAATGGGTTTATGGCCCCCGATATAAAACCAAACGGAAGTCAAGCCCACTGCCAGCCAGGGTTGAATCACGGTCTCCCCATGTGGGGGGTTTAAAGAGAGTCGGTGGCCTTTTATAGGAGGGAATTGTGAGTTTGAACGGCCAACCTTTCAGTCAGCAGCCCAATGACTAACCTGCAGCACAGCACCTAGGCCCCTGAACCCCACGGCCATCCCCTCGAGTGGACGCCGACTCACAGTGACCCTGCAGGACAGGGCGGAGCTGCCCCTGGGGGTCTCCCAGGCCGTCAGTTTTCACGGGAGCAGACGGTCTGGTCTTTCTCCCGAGGAGCTACTGGTGGGTTTGAACTTGCTGACTTTGCATGAGTGGCTTTCAGCAGAACCCACTCTGCCACCAGGGGCTTAGCATTTACAATGCACTTTTGGGGGGCGCGGGTGTTGGAGGCAGGGAACTCCCCCCACACACACACACAGCTGGCTATCAGAGAGGACACATGGGGGATAGGACATTGATGATGAAGATAAGAGTTACACTAGGCAATTTTTCCTCCACCCTATGGGTTCTCACGGGTGTGAGCCGATTGGCTGTCAGGTGTCAGCCATGTTCCATCAGGAGAGGGCAGTCCCTGGAGAAGGACATCATGTTCAGTTAAGAATACTGAAGGACCGTGGACTTGTCCTGGAGGAA